ATCCATCGTGCAGTGATTCGACGACATCTTTCACAACAAGCTGATCGCGACAGGCAAAGGGTCCATCCTCAAGATTCTCACGCGGTCCACAGGATCTACGGTGAATGCCGCCCAGATACTTCAGCGAGCACATGCGCAAGCTGCTGCAGCTGGACGACATGCCATCATGGCCTCTCGTCGTAACAAGGCGGAAGATCTGCATTCACACAGCCGTGACAGGGCTGGAACCAACCAGGCACCACGCCGTGGCAGGGCGGGCGACCTTCACACGTCCAGTCGTGACAGGACTGGCGGACATCATCAGAGACAGGCAGGGGTCAAAGCTCCGACTGACGCTACCCCGAGTGCCACTTCAAGTACCTCTCCACAACAAGCATACCTTCGGGAACTGCAACGCCAGCTGTACCGCGACTACTTCCACAAGACCATCATCCATCACCGTCTCCGCGCCTGGCTCCCACTACTTCCTGCTGACAGTGGAGATCGAATGGCACCTGCTACGACCGAGCAACCTGCTGGGAACGACAATCACGACTCCATGAAGTACCTGAACGAGCGCGCAGAAGCATGGGCAGCAATATGGATCCCCAGCGTGTTTTTCGGCCGCGACATGGACAACTTCAACGACTGGATGGACTGGTGCGTCCCATACGTCACAGCTGTACTACATCGCACCCAATTCAATGCGCACTTCTGCACCGATGACCAGTACGGGTCTGCCAACGCTCGCCGTGACATGGCGACGGAGATATGTTGCAGCGCATGGCATCGAGCTGAACGCCCTCGCAATCACCGCTTGCAGATCTACCCCTCCGAGCACATGCCGACCAACGCTCATCGAGAATTTGCTGATGAAGCTGCTGAACACCGCGCCCGTCGTCGCTGTATCGAACGGGAACGCGGCACCAGCCCGAACCTCCCGCAGGAAGAAGACGGCACTCAGTCTACAACTGCGGCTACATCCACGCCTCACATCCATTCAGTCAATGACATCATGATGGATGTTGATACATCCGACCGTGACGGACTTCTTGGCCGCGCTGCTCTCCCTGCCAGCGTTGAGCACGTCTGGCGCGACCTGAGGCCCCACCTGGCGAACTCCACGGCATCGATCTTCTGGCCTGTGGTCAAGACCTCGTCAGGCGCGTGGGCGACATCGCACCGCATGCTCGTCAACCCCCACAAGAGGAACTGCCTATTCGGCTGCGACAAAGACTCGCAGGCCAAGAACACGGACGACATCAGCCACTACATTTCGCGCCCGCGAATGCGGGCGCTATTGGCTCAACCTCGGGGACAACCTGCTGGTGATGTCCTCACAAGGCTCGGCCTCAACAAGAGCAGCAACATCGACGATCACCCGAAGCACGCCGTCACACGCATTGCGGTCGCCTTCCGCACATGCAACATCCTGCGGGCGCGCTCCGAGCTGAGCTTGCCCGCCATCATCGACGAGCTCAAGTACCACAAGGAGGTGGTCGCTGCCGCCAGACGCGCCCTGAGGTTGCCACGGTGCCTCGTAGGCGGCGCGGGGCCGCTGCGCCTCTAACCCGCGGACGCGCGCCCCCTTCAGCGCGTCGTTCGCTCCTCCTCCTCCTGCTCCTGCTCCTCCTCCTCCCCCTCCTCCTCCTCCTCCTCCTCGCCCTCTTCCTCCTCATCCTCCTCTTTCTCCTCCTCCTCGTCCTCCTCCTCCTCCTCCTCCTCCTCCTCCTCCTCCCCCCCCTCCTCGTCCTCCTCCTCCCTCGTCCTCCTCGTCCTCCTCGTCCTCGTCGTCGTCGTCGTCGTCCTCCTCCTCCTCCTCCTCCTCTTCTTCTTCGGGCCCATCGATGGCCCAGCCTTGGGATTGGCTTGGGGGCACCCCTCTCCCCTTCCCCCTCCACGGCCGACGCGGATGTCCTCCCAGGGCGCCCAGGACGTCTTGTCGAGCCCGCTACCGGGCTCGACCCAGAGGCGTGCCTTGGGAGGCGCCTGTGGGCGAGGGAGACCAGGCGCCATGGCGGGCCCGCCCGCCCGCCTGCCCGCGCGGGCGTGGCAGGCGCCCGATCGTTGGCCGCTCCAACGCGCGCACATCACGCGGTGGTATACAAGTGGCTCGGCGAGCCCGCCGCGGCCGTGCTGCCTCCGGGGCCCCAACCCTTGCAGTGGTGTTTCGTGCAATAGTATGTGCTATGTTAACATAGCGCACGCGCGCCGCCCCTCATGTATAGGGCGCGCGTGGTACGACGTCCGCTACGAAGGCGACAATCGTTTCGTGCTGCGCGCGCGGCGCCGTCGCTAAATTTCCTCCTCGATCCTCTTCTTCCTCCTCCTCCTCCTCATCGCCGCGTGGCTCGAGTACGCGATCGATCGTCTGAAAGCGGAGCTATGCCCCGACTTACGGGCGCTTGGACGATCCCGACGTGGCATGGATATCGTAGGAAAGCTGCGCAGCGCTCTCCGCTGCTGCCAATATCGATATCGGACCCGATCTTCGCCTGTCCCCATATTTTGCCCATGTCTTCTTTTTTTCTTCTGACGGCGCATTTAAAAATTGAGCCGCTTCCGAACGTCTCAATTTAATGGAGGCGCGAAGATGACAGGGAAGTGTCGAGGTTGTCGAAGGAGGTCGCGGCAGCCAGCCACCCTCGAGGAGCCCACCACCTGGGACAAGTACGATTGTTTCGAGGGGCGGCCCCTGAAGGGCGCCCGAAACGCAATGAATTCCAGACGCATCTTCAAGCGGGGGCACCGGAAGGGTTCGCGCGGCAAGACTGTCAGGATCAACCGGCGCCGCATGGCGTTGAGGGGTTCCCGCGAGGCGGGCGCCCCTGGCCTTGAGGGCGCTCGCTGCGGCAGCGAAACGGGCGCCTCAGCGCCGATTGCCCTCAGAGGCGGCGCGTCGCCCAGACTGGGCGCGCGTCGTCGTTGACGTCGAGGCGGCATTTCTGCGAGGCAGGACCTACGCAGAGATGCAGGAGCAAGGCGAACCACCTCGAGAAGTGAACTCCACTCTGCCGCCCGGCAGCGCAGCTATCCTCAGGCAGGCGTCCGGCCACGAGAGCTTCTACGAGCGGGCCGAGTGCCGGCGCTGCATGAAGTCTGGTTCGGGCTGCGAGGATGCCCCCAGAGCCTTCTCCATGGAGGTCGCTCGGGCCACGCGCTCACCTGAGTGCGACGCCGGACACCAGGCGGGGCCCCGAGCTCAAGGGCAAGCGCGCGACATCCAGCAGCTGTGTTGCCGGCGTCTCGGAGCTACTGCTCGAGCTGTCCAAGCACGTCGACGATCTGAAGATTGCTCGGCAGAAGGAGCACGTCGACGGGCTAATCGGCCACATCGAGAAGGTCTTCGGCAAGATGAAGGGTGACCACGATGACTGCACCAACTGCGGAGCGCGCCGGCACCGCAGCGCCGATGGCTCCCCGACGCTCGACCAGGACGAGTACATCGACGGTCTGATACCGATCAGACACGCCGACCCAGCCAAGGCCAAGGCTGACAAATCGGCCTGAGGTCAGCTCCCTGATCTCCATAGTCTCCTGGGAGCAGCGCCTCGCGCCCTGCACGCCCAGCACCGCGTCGCAGCGTGCGCTGTCGCCTTGCAGAGAGACGCAAACAAGCTGTTCATCAGACACGCGATGCAGCTCAACTGCGTTGTTCTAGCCACGGAATAGACAACCGCACGCAGCGCATCTCCATCAATGGAGCGCGCCAAGCGACGCAGCGAGCACAGCGGCGGGTCCTTCAAGAGGGAGGAGGAGTCAGGATACGGCAGGAGAGCCTCTCTGCAAATGCCGTCGCGCCGGCAAACGAGTGCGCCATTTGCTGGACGCAGTGAGCCGATCATCGCACAAGCTCGCGTGCAGATCCGCATTCTGCTCCGAGCTGCTCGCCGAAGGCGGCGCAGCCGAAGGCCGGCAGGCGCGCCTCCTCGCGCCGCGCGAGATCACGGCCCCGCCTCTGCCGATGAGATCAGAGGGCTGAAGGGAAGGAGGGCGCGCGGTCCCTGCAGACGTCGTCATAATCGGCGCGTCCGTCCTCAGCGCCCTGCTCGCGGGCCCGGCCTGGCCGCCGTCCGAGAACGGCATGGCTGGTCAACTCCGGCTGGCTTCGCACCGAGCAGGTCGACGACTTGCACTGGTAAGACACACGGGGCACGCGGGCCGACCCCGTGACCATGGGCAGCATGGGCCGAGGGCTCCTGCGCAGCGCGATGGACGGCCATATCAGCTATGACCACACCGCGGTCAAGTTCAGCGACGAGAAGCTGAAGAAGGCCGCCCCGAGCCCACAGCAGTGCTCACTCACGCCGAAGCAAGGAGACGACCCCCGTGACTGCGTTTAGAGGCCACGCGGGATCTGAAAACGAAATACGAGGCCGTAGCCATTTTGGCTCAAGGCCTCAAACAGGCCTAGCCCAGCGGCCGGCGCGCGCGCGGGGCGCGCGCGGGGCGCAGGCATGGCCCCCTCCAGGGGGCCACGGGGCCCGCGCGCCGACGCTCGGAGCATGGGGAGTGCTCCGGGCGAAGGGGGGCGCCCGCCGGACCCAGGCCCGCCACCAGGCCTCTGGGCGCTGGCTGCGCGAAGGAGACGAGCGCAGGGGGGCGGGAGGCGAAGGACGAGCCCGCCGAGACCTCGTCACCACGCCGGGCGCGGAGCGAGAATCTCGGTCAGGAGAGGGGCCCGTCCAGGCCGCGAGCTGACAAAGACAACCACGACCAAGACAACGACCGAGCACTCAACGACACGACTAGCCCCCGACCCCCTCCGCTTGAACCCCTTCCGCCATCTGGCTCAAGGCGAGCACAGGCTCACGCCTGCCCCGCCGCCCGAAGACACGGACAGCCGACCCGGACTCGCAGACCGACCGGTCGACTTTCAGACGCTAAGACTCCTCAACGCTGGGTACTCGCCTTTGCCCACTCGGTGCGCCACGAGGAACCGCCGTCGTTCCAGACGCCGCGCCGAGAAGAGGGGGCGAGCGAACAGAGAGGCACACGCCTACCACGAACATGCCGAGACCATGCGGCAGCAGGAAGCTTTCTCCAGGCGACAGACCTACCTCGAGGACCGGTTCAACCTGAGGCGGCACGCGACGCGGGGCAGCGCAAAGACCGAAGAGCGAACCACCACGCAGCCCGACTACCAAGCTCGCAACACCGACCACGACTCACCCACAGCAAGCACGCGAGGCTGCACCCAAAAGCTCCTGCACGCGCTTCTCGGACCCAACACGAGACTGGACTACGCAAACGAGGGCGCCACGGCCGTCATGATGCAGGCCGGGGTGGGGACGCTGGGGACAGACTGCCCGACCCTGCAGCCGGGCGCGCGCCAACGCGCCCGCCAGCGGAAGAGGAACGCTGCCGAGCCAACGCCAGCAAGGGGACCGCAGAGCGTCGCCAACACGAGGGTGCCACTGCCGCCCAGTGGCAGCCCACGATGCTATCACCACGTCCTGCCCGCGCTGGGCCGACAAGGGCAACGCAGAACTGCAGCTACTGCCAATGCGCGCATGACAAAATTTGTTGCGAAATTGACTGGGCTAGCTGCCGTGCTCCAGTCCCGATTGCTTTACACGACAGGCAAGCACAGGGGCCCGACCGACTCACCAACTATGCAATGTTACTGCTCCCTCCCGCCACCCCTGCTCACACCGGCAGCCCCGCAGCTCCCAGAAACGGAGGCCGCCGCTTTTACCTGGCGCGCAAAGGCGAAGAGGGCCAGCCCTCGCACAAGAGCCGCGCGCAGACGGGCGGCCGCAACAGGAGAAGAAGCAGAAAGCACCTTGCACCAGCAGAGCGACCACCGCGACCACCAACACCACGCGCAGCAACACCAGCGCGACGAGGAACACCGCAGCGGCAACAACGCCCACGACCGCGACAAGCACCACGCGCAAGAACACCAGCGCACAGCACAAGGCAGCGACCAAGACCACTACGTCCTGCACCACCACGAGCATCAGCACCAGCGCAACCCCTCCAAAAGCCGCCGCGACGCGCGATGGGGTTACCGAGGCGTTCGAGCGGGCGAGGCCAGCCACTCAGGACCTCCAGACGCATCCGGGGACAGCCCCCGAAGACCGCGCCCGAGACACACGACGTCACCACCAGAGTCGCCAGAGCACGCGCCCGGCGGCGCGGCGCCAATCCCGTCGCAGGGAGAGACCCCACCACGGGCTCTGCTCCGGCTACAAGCCGCAGGTTTTCAGCTTGGCGCGCAAGCCGTGCCGGACCACTTTGGCGCCGTCTTCGGGAGGGCGCCAGATAGCGGATGGAACTTCGCGGGCCTATTCGCCCCGCGCGGCGACAGTCAGGGCGAGGCAGCAGAAGCGGCAGCAACGGCGCGGGAGGAGCCGGACCGACCACCAGCGCCGACGGAAGATGCCAACATCTGCGTCGTCTGCCAGGAAGTGACCCCGCACCATGGGGCGGGCAGGGACACACCAGCACAGGAGGCATGCTGTGGCGCCCACTTCCACTTGGGCTGCCGAGCCGACTTGGCCCGCCACCTCGGCGAAGCCACCGCATGCCCGCAGTGCCGAGCCCGACTTCCGACCACCGCCGAGTTACGGGCATGGTGCACCGCGCAGGGCGTGGACATAGACCGACCGCCGCCCCCGGCCCACGACACCAGCGCCCAGGCTGCCCCAGATTACAATGGGTTTCGGAGCTACGCGCGAGGCAAAGAACCACCACCACTGGAGCCACCGCTGCTCCGAGCGCTCTGCTGCCGACGTCTCGGCCCCCCGCCCGAATTCTCCGAAGTGCCCGACCGCCGCATGGAATGGTCCCCGGAGATCGCTGAACGAGACACCAACGGGAGGATCACGCAGTGGCTAGAGTCATGGCTTTGCCCACGCTGCGGGGCGCGCTGCGCTGTCGACACGATCGCGCCACAGGGCGGCCAACAGATGCGCGCGAGGTGCCTAGAGCCGGGCACGTGGGCCGCGGAAGCCGGCACGGCTGAAGGCGAATGGAGGTGCGCTTTGTGCGAACCAGACGCCTGGACCAGAGAAGTGCCTTCTGCCTCGCCACCAGCCCCGCCAGGGCCAGAGCCACCACCGCCAGCCCCCCCACCAGGGCCAGAGCGAGCCGCCGCGAGGCCGCCACAACACAGCCCTTTCGCCGGCTGGGCCCCACCGCAAGCGCCCCTCCAGGCACGCACCAACTCGGCAGTGTACGCGCCCCTGCTGCTAGCGGTCGCCGGGCTTTTAGACCCAAGCGAAGGGGCGCAGTGGAGTGAGCACCGCCTCACACAGGCTTGCTGGCAGCCGACGGTAGAGACGTTGCGGCTTGCAGGACCTGTGCTAACAGGGCCCTTTGTCCAAATGCGTCGTGCACCGACGCTCGGCCCGGGCAAGTACCAGCGGTGCTTGCTGCAGACGGAGGAGAGCGCCCAGGGTACGTATCCTTTGCGCCAGTCGCCCAGGCCGTGGCGCACAGCAGCACCAGCTACATACAGCCGCTGGTGCAAGACCTCCTCCTCGAAGCCTTCGGCGGCGGCGTGCTTGCACGAGGGGTTGACGCACGCACAAACGAGCTGCGCAACCCAGCTCTCTGGGCAGATGCGGCGCCCCCGCCGCCGCTCCCACCGCCAGGGGCGCCCCAGGGGCCGGGGCTGCCTGGAGACCAGCACGCGAACGGCCCTGCCGCCGTGGCGGGCTGAGGCGCCCCCGGAGACAGAAGCGGAAGAGGCGCCAGAGAAAGCAGACGAGGAAGAGGCGCCAGAAGAGGCCGAGGCGGCGGAGGAGGGGGAGGAGGAAGCCCGAGCAGCGGCAGCGACGGGGGAAACACGGGCGCGGGGGAGGGAGACGCCAACGACGGCGACAGCAACTCCAGCGAGAGCAACTCCAGCACCGAGGAGACCGACCACGAGGCCGAACCAGCGCAGGCCCCAGCCCCGAGCAACGGACCCACGGAAGAGTCCTGGGCAGCTCTCGGGGGCATCGACCTCCAACAAGAGCTACGACACTGCAGAACGTGCCGCGTTTCCTGCGCGCGGAGACCCGGATGGCGTCTACCACGGCCCTGAAGAGGATCAAACGAGGACACGACCAGGGCAGCCAAACAACAACCCACCAAGGATGGACATTGTTCCTCCTCGCCTCGAGGCTCCTGCTAAGCAAGCCCAAGGGCACCGACGCCGAGGGCCGACAAGAGCTCTTGGGACGCGCCCAGCGGTTCCGCCAGGGCGACTGGCTGGCCCTGCTACACGAGGCCAACACCACGACCGGCGCGCGCGCAGCGCCGAGGCCAGCCACAGAGGATCAACAGCAGGAGAGACGCAGAGAACAGGCTTGCGCGCACGTCCGAAACGGCAACCCCTCACGGGGGAGACAGGTCTTGGCCGCAGCGGCGATTGCGCCCGGCAACGGGGATGCACTAAACAGGCTGCGGGACCCGGCCCGCCGACCGCCTACCCTGAGCCGCCGACTACCCGCCAACCTAGACCGCGCAACCGACAGCGCGACACTCGACAAGACCAAATTCCTCTATTGCCTCCTGTCCGCCAAAAAGGGCACGGCAGCAGGACCGTCGGGAGTCCGCGTTGAGCACCTCAAGCCGCTGCTGGAACACGAAGAGCCCATGGACCTGCTTGTATTCGCCGCCGCTGCCCTCGCGGAGGCGCGGGTGCCCTCCCCGATTGCCCGCGCTCTGGCCCTCTGCAAGATGACGGCGCTCCAGAAACCAGACAACGGAGTTCGGGGCATCGCCACCGGTGACGTTTTCCGCCGACTGGTCACCGGGGCGCTCGCTCAACAGTTCGCCGAGCAGTTCGCGGCCGCAACTGCGCCCTTCCAGTTCGCCCTGACGACGCGGGCAGGAACCGACTGCGCCGCCATGCTGCTGAGGTCAGTGCTGGACCACGACGACGACGCAGTGATCGTCAGCATCGATGGAGTCGGGGCTTTCGACCATGTGTCGAGGTCGGCCTTCTTCCAGGAGCTCCTTGCTCGCCCAGGGCTGGCCGGCTTAATCCCCTTCGTGAAGATGTGGTACGGGCAAGACTCCACCTACCTCTGGCAAGACGAAATGGGGACTGTGCACGACGTGCACCAGGGAGAGGGAGTGGAGCAGGGGGACGCGCTGGCCCCAGCCCTCTTCGCTGTTGCCCTGCACGGAGCGCTGGCGGGCGCCTCCAGGACCCTCGAGCAAGGGGACTTCCTGGTCGCTTTCTTGGACGACGTGTACATCAAGACCACCCGGGCCAGGGCCAGAGCCGCTTTCGACACCACCACCGGAGCAATTCACCTCCACGCTAACGTGGATTGCCACCTTGGCAAGTGCCGGGCTTGCAGCAGGGGCGAAGGCGCAGCGCCGCCCGGAATCGGCGAGCTGGGACAAGACGTCTGGAGGGGCGACAGAGCGCCACCCGACCGAGGAATCAAGATCCTAGGCACCCCCCCAGGCACCCCAGAATTCGTCGCCGCACACCTGGAGAGCAGGCTACAGGAAGAGAGGAGACTCCTGGACGAACTGGCGCACCTGCCCGACCCACAGTGCGCTTGGCTCCTCCTCCTCCTCTGCGCCTTCCCGCGGGCCAACCACCTGCTGCGAACTCTGCCGCCAGAGGAAATCGCAGAATGCGCGAGAGGCCGCGACGGCGACATGTGGGCCACTTTGCGCCGCCTCCTCGGGGACCCCGCAATGTCGCAAGACGAAGAGCGACGGGCGCGCGCACTGGCAGCATTGCCTGGGCGACACGGAGGACTCGGGCTCCAAAGCGCCGCGCGCACGTCCCCAGCGGCCTACTGGGGCGCTTGGGCAGACGCCCTACACATGCTCCACCAACGGCGCCCCGTTGAAGCTGCAGCGATCAGGGACCTCCTCGACGGCACCAGGCCCGGCCGTAGGGGCAACCTTGCCGCAGCCGCCGCGGCCGCACAGCTGCTCGAATCCGAAGGCTTCCGGAGACCTTCCTGGGCCGACCTGCTCCAGGGGCTGCGCCCAGAAGCGCCACCGCGCTCGGAGGCCGCCGAACCGGGGGAATGGCAGCACGGCTACATGTTTTACTAAACGCACTTTTACATTGCTAGTGCTCCCCCTCTTGTGCCGTCCCTCTCCCTCTTGTCCTCGTCCTCGTCCTTGTCCTCCTCGGCTTCGCCGCCGCTCAAGTTTCGGCTTGAGGATTTCAGAGAGATCAACGAGCCTCCAGGATTTTTTGGCACCGCAGTGCGAGAGGACAGCCCCTCTCGCAAGCCTGGGCAATCGCCACGAAGTGGTGGTGGTACGGCGTGGCCGCGCTCGTAGGGTGGAACGCAGGCGACATAGCAGACGAGGGCCGTCCACTGTGGGCGGCAGCTGAGGAGTTCGAAGCACCCGAGGAGCGGGACTACGAGTCGGCAGGTGACATCCTCGTGCACGGCAGCCGTGCATCCGTCCTGATGGCGCCGTGGAGCAGATGGAACAGGGTCTACTACAAGACGGGCCCGTCGCAAGGGGTGGTGATGCTGTTGGTGTCACGGATCGGCAAGCCCAACAGCACGACATGGACGGCCTGTGACCCCACCCTGAGGGTCCAAGTCATCAACGTGCGCGACAAGGAGATGATCTTTACCAAACCTGTGAAGGATCTGACATGGACAGAGCACCCTGGGCTCAGTGCAGCGAGCAGGGACCGAGTGCTCGCGGCCTCGGAGAGGCTCATAGCCCGACGGGAGCTGGAGGCCGAGGACGTGAAGACCGCCAACCCCGCCAAGGGGAAACAGCAGAAGAAGCGCCAGCCGAGCAAGAAGAGCGACCTGTTCGGTTGGATCCCGGGCGGGGTGATGAACGCCGTGAGTTTCTTGTGGCTACGGCGTTCGGCGGGAGGCTCCCTGGCAGTGTGTTTCCTTGGATGGCGAGCTTGGAATGTCCTGGGGCTTGGCTCTGTGCTCCAGACCGTCTACGAGTCCGTGCTGGCCGCCGGTGAGGTGGCAGAAGGAGCTCATGAACGGCATGAGAAGGCCGAGGAGATGTACGAGTCAGGGGAGCTAGAGCAGATCGGGATGGCGCTCTGGGTCGGGATCGCGGAACTCTACCTGGGTTACCTGCTGATCAGCAGGGGGGCAGGCCTGGGGAGACTGTGGAAGGTGTGCGAGAGCGACAGCGAGAGCGAGGCGTCCGACTCGGAGGTCATGGTGGGCACGACGGTGGCGGACTCGGACGACGAGCCCGACTCGAGGCACTTGTTCGCGGAGCTGGCAAGGGGGCAAAATGCACTACAGGCTTCTGTCGCCGCACTGGCCGACCTCCTGGGCCAGAAGGGCAAAGGTGGAGATGTGCCAGCGTCGGGCGGGCCTCGGAAGCGTCTCAGCTTCGACAGTGACGGCGACGAGACCGAGGCCCAGGGGAAGCCCTCAGACGCGCAGGTGGACGACTTCTTACGGAAGCTTCAAGAGCACGAGGAGACGGTGAAGGTGGACTCAGGGGCGGGTAAGAAGGGATCTCCAGGGCCGACTACGCCGAAGTCGGGGTCTCCTACGAGCTGGGAGAAGGTGTCTTCCCCAGGCGCGTCCAGTGTCGGGGAGGCCGTGGCACAGCTGGAGATCGAGGCGCTCGTGCTGGCGCGGGGGGTCGACCGGCGCGCAGACGAGCTCCGCGACCCGGCCAGGTGGGCCGCAGCCGCGCCGCGCCCGCCGAGGCCGCCACCAGCGGCGCCAGCAGGACCTCAGCCCAGCGACGACGCCAGCGGAGGGGGCCCAGGAGAAGGCAGAGGCCGAGGAGGCAGAGGAGGAAGAGGCGCCAGAGGAAGCAGAGGGCGAGGCGCTAGAGGGGGCCGAAGAGGAAGAGGCACCAGAGGAGGGGGAGGAGGGGGAGGAGGCAGCTCGAGCAGCAGCACCGCCAGCGAGAGCGAGGAGGACACTGAGGACAGCGCCTCCAGCAACTCTGGCCCCGCGCTGCCCGCGCCGCTGGCCCAGCCCCGCCGAGACGGGGGCGCGGGACGAGCTGCTCCTCCCCGGGCGCCCCTGGGGCGCCGCCCCGCCCACGCCCGCGCTCGCTTGACGGCGGCAGAGAGGGAAGCGCTGGACGCGACAGACGCAGCATCTGTGCTCCGGGCCCGCGTGCCAACCCTCCAACGGGCGCCGGCGTTCGCGCGGGGGCCGTTCCGCAACGCCTTGCGCAAAGCTTTGGAGCTGATCCGAGAGGGCGAAGCAGACGAGACAGGAGCAGCGAGAGGGTGGAAGCTGTTCCTCCTGCTCCCACGACTGCTCTTGAGGAGAGAGGCGGGGCAGCAAAGGATCCCCAAGGAGCAACTCCTGGAGAGGTTCACCCGCTTCGAGGCTGGAGACTGGGCGCAGCTTCTGACAGAAGCACAGCCGGGCCCGCCGCGCAGGCCGCCCGAGCGAGACGCGAACGGGCAGAGCAGGGCGCCCGAGGCACGACGGGGCCGGGCGCCAGACGAAAACGAGGAGCTCCGCAGCCGCTGCGAGAGGGCCCGCGAGCTGATCCGCCTCGGCGAGGTCTCGGCGGCGCGGCAAGCGCTGACAGCGAGCGCGGTGGCACCAGGCACACAGGCCACTCTGGACGAACTCCGGGACCCGGCACGCCGCCTGCAGCAGCCGAGAGAGCAGCTCAGCGAGCGAGCCGCCCGCGCGCCGCCGCAAGGCCTCACCAGCCTGGAACCAGACCGCCTCCTCACGAACGTGCGCAGGAGTCGCCGGGGCGCTGCGCCGGGCCCCTCAGGGATGTCGGGAGAACAGTTGCAGACGCTGCTGGACGACGAGCACTGCTGCGACCTCCTGCACCACGCTGCCACGCTCCTTGCGAGGGCGGAAATCCCTGGCCCCGTGGCAGAGGCCCTCCGGCTCGGCCGCCTCACGGCGCTGCGCAAGAGCAACGGGAGGGTGCGAGGCATCGTGACTGGCGACGTCTTCAGGCGGCTGGTAGCCCGCACGCTGGCGCAGCAAGTGGGCGAAGAGGTCGAGCAGGCGACTGCCCCCTTCCAGTTCGCACTCTCGACCCGAGCAGGCACGGAATGCGTGGCGCACCTCGTGCAGACTCTCACCCAGGGTGACCCGGCTGCCACGGTGGTTTCCATAGACGGGTCCAGAAACTCGATGCTCGAAGGATTAGCAAACCTGGGCAGGGGTAGCGCACTGCTTCCCTTCTGCCGCCTCTTCTACGTGGAAAGATCGCAGCACTGGTGGCACGACGACGCGGGACAAGGGCACGCGATCGACCAGGCGGAAGGAGGAGAGCAAGGAGACCCGCTCATGCCAGCCCTGCTTGCCTTGGGACAACACCCCGCCCTGCAACAGGTCCAAGGCATACTCCGGCCCGGGGAGCGCATCTTCGCCTTCCTTGACGACGTGTACTTGGTCACCACGCCAGACAGAGCGAGGTTCCTCTTTAACGCCGTGCGGGACGCCCTCCATGCGCACTGCGGCATCAGCGTGAACATGGGGAAGACGCGAGTCTGGAACAGGGGAGAGCAGGAGCCTCACTTGGCATCCGAGAGCTGGGCTCAGCAGCAGACCGGGTGTGGGCAAGAGGAGCAGACACCCCGCCGGAAGCCCAGGGCTTGGTCGTTCTGGGGGCCCCGATAGGCCACGGAGCTTTCGTCGCCCAACACCTGGAGGCCATCCTGGAAGAACACCGCCGCTTGCTCGCGAGGATACCACACGTCGGGGACCTGCAATCCTCGTGGCTCCTGCTCAGCATGTGCGCCAACCCCCGGGCCAACTTCTTCCTGAGGGCGCTGGCTCCCGAGGACACGGCCGCCTTCGCCGCAGCGCGCGACGACAACCTGGCCAACGCGCTCGCCGACTTGCTGGAACTCCCGCAAGAAGCTGTCGCAGAAGGCACGTCAGCGCGCCAACGCTGCCAACTGCCGCTTTGCATGGGGGGGCTCGGCCTGCGAGGCGCGCCCAGGACGGCGCCAGCGGCCTGGTGGGCTTCCTGGGCAGACTGCGCGCAGATGCTCCGCGAACGCTGCCCCGAGCTCACAAACCAGATCTGCGCTGCACTGAGCGAGCTGGACTGGGGCCCGCTGCCGGCCGCTCCCGGGTGCTTACAACAAGCCAGCAGGGCAAAGGAGCACCTCTCGGCGCACGGCTTCGCCGCGCCCAACTGGCACGACCTTGCGCAGGGCGCCCGGCCACCGCCGACGCACGAACGGGAGCACGGCGAATGGGCGCACGGCTGGCAGTTCTGGGCCGCCAGAGTCTTGGAGAACACAGCCCGACAGCAGCTCCTCAACGCCTCCACGCCGCCGGACCGCGCCCTCCTCCGGTCGCAGAGCGGGCCGTGCGCGGGACGAGCCTTCACCGCGCTGCCCACGACGGGGGACTTCCACATCCCGCCGGCAGAATTCAGAGTCCTGCTCCTCAGGCGCTTGCGATTTGATTTACCCTTCGCAGCGAGCGCTTGCAGATGCAGAGGCAGACTGGACGCCAGAGGTGACCGCAGAGCGGCGTGCCCAAGGGCAGGGGTGCTCAAGAAAAGATCCATCCCATTGGAGAAAGCGGCTGCGCGTATCTGCCGCGAGGCCGGGGGCCGAGTCGCAGAGAATCAGCTCCTGCGAGACCTCAACGTTGACGGCGTCGACCCCCGCGACGGGCGCAAGATCGAGGTCATCGCGAACGGCCTGCCGCTCTGGGGAGGAGCGCAGCTGGCGATTGACGCGACCCTGGTGTCGCCAGTCCGCACCGACGGCACCGCGCAGCCCAGAACCGCGGACGAGGACGGAGTCCAGCTCGCGGTCGCGCGGGGCCGGAAGGAAGCGACCTACCCCGAGCTCATCGGGCCAAGGAGATGCCGATTGGTTGTGCTGGGCTTGGAAGTCGGCGGCAGGTGGTCCGAGGAGGCCCTGACCTTCGTCCGGCTGCTCGCCAGGACCAGAGCCCGCAGCGCGCCGCAGCGACTCCGAGCGTCGGCGCGGGCGGCGTACCTACACCGCTGGACAGGCTTGGCTGCGGTCGCGGCCCAGAGGGCGTTCGCGGCCACGCTGCTGGAGTTGCCGCCGCACGCCCTGGCCGTCGACGGGGACGAGCCGCACCTCGCCGACCTCCTGGCGGACGCCCGCTACACGGAGACGCCGGCCCCTAGCCGATTGCCGCCGTGTTTCTGATGCGGTGGAACGGGCGCGGCCCCACCCCAGGGGCCCGCCCGCCGGCGCAGCAGGAGGGCCAGCAGAACCACTACAACCACTACCACAACTGCGACAACAAGCAGCGGCAGCAGCTGCAGCATAACCGCCACCACCACGCCTACGACCAGCAGCGCCACCACCGCCAGCAAGGCGACCAGCACCACCACCACCACGACGGCGACCAGGGGCAGCACGGCGACCAGCAGCACCACGACAACAACTACCACTACAGCGACAACAAGCAGCAGCAGCAGAAGCAGCAGCAGCACCACCACCACCACCACCACAACCACTACGACTACCACCAGCAGCGCCACCACAACTTGCACGGCGACCAGCACCACCACCACGACGGCGACCAGGGGCAGCACGGCGACCAACAGAAACACGACAACTACTACCACAACTGCGACAACAAGCAACAGCAGCAGCACCACCACCACCGCCACCACCACCACGACGGCGACAAGGGGCAGCACGGCGACCAGCAGAACCACGACAACTACTACCACAACTGCGACAACACGCAGCAGCGGCAGCAGCAGAACCACCACCACAACTACCACGACTACGACCAGCAACGCCACACCCGCCAGCACGGCGACCAGCACCACCATCACCACCACCACCACCACCACCACGACGGCGACCAGGAGCAGCACGGCGACCAGCAGCACCACGACAACCAAAACAACTACAGCGACAGCAACAAGCAGCAGCAGCAGCACCACCACCACCACCACAACCACTACGACTACGACCAGCAACGCCCCCACCACCAGCACGGCGACCAGCACCACCACCACCGCGACGCCGACCAGGGGCAGCACGGCGACCAGCAGCACCACGACGGCCACTACAACCACAGCGACAACAACAAGCAGGACCACCAGCAGCAGCAACACCACCACCACCACCACAACCATCACGACTACGACCAGCAACGCCACCACCACCAGCACGGCGACCAGCACCACCACCACCACCACGACGGCGACCAGGGGCAGCACGGCGACCAGCAGAACCACGACAACTACCACCACAACTGCAACAACAAGCAGCAGCAGCGGCAGCAGCAGAGCCACCACCACCACCACTGCGACTACGACCAGCAGCGCCACCACCACCAGCACGGCGACCAGCACAACCACCACCACCAAGACGGCGACCAGGGGCAGCACAACTGCGACAAGCAGCAGCAGCCGCAGCACCACCACCACCACGCCTACAAACAGCAGAGCCACCACCAGCACGGCGACCAGCAGCACCACCGCCACGATGGCGACCAGGAGCAGCAGAGCGACCAGCAGAACCACGACAATTACTACCACAACTGCGACAACAAGCAGCAGCAGCGGCAACAGCAGAACCACCACCGCAACCACTACGACTACGACCAGTAGCGCAGCGACAACAAGCAGCAGCAGCAGCAGCACCACCACCACCACCACCACAACCACCACAACCACTACGACTACTACCAGCAGCGCCACCACCACCAGCACGGCGACCAGCACCACCACCACGACGGCGACCAGGAGCAGCACGGCGACCAGCAGAACCACGACAACTACGACCACAACTGCGACAACAAACAGCAGCAGCAGCACCACCACCACCACCACCACCACCACCACCACAACCACTACGACTACGACCAGCAGCGCCACACTCACCAGCTCGGCGACCAGCAGCAGCAGCAGCACCACCACCACCACCACCACTACGGCGACCAGGAGCAGCACGGCGACCAGCAGCACCACGACAACCACTACAACTACAGCGACAACAGCAAGCAGCAGCAGCAGCAACAGCAACAGCAGCAGCAGCAGCACCACCACCACCACCACAGCCACTACGACTACGATCAGCCACGCCCCCACCACCAGCACGGCGACCAGCACCACCACCACCACGACGGCGACCAGGGGAAGCACGGCGACCAGCAGCACCACGACAACCACTACAACTACAGCGCCAACAACAAGCAGCAGCAGCAGCAGCAGCACCACCACCACCACCACCACAACCACTACGACTACGACCAGCAACGCTACCACCACCAGCACGGCGACCAGAGCCACCACCACCACCACCACCATGACGGCGACCAGGGGCAGCACGGCGACCAGCAGAACCACGACAACCACTACCACTACGGCGACAACAAGCAGCAGCACCCGCATCAGCAGCAGCAGCAGCAGCAGCAACAGCAGCAGAACCACCACCACCACCACCACCACTACGACTACAACCGGCAGCGCCACCACCACCAGCACGGATACCACTACCACCACCACCACGACGGCGACCAGGGGCAGCACAGCGACCAGCTGCACCACGACAACCACTACCACAACAGCGACAACAAGCAGCAGCAGCAGCAGCAGCAGCAGCAGCAGCAGAACCACCACCACAACCACTGCGACTACGACCAGCAGCGCC